AAAATATTCCTCGAAGGTACATTTAAAACAGAACAAAAATGTGCGATTAATTTGCGATTAACTATTGGACTGACAGCCCTAGTTAAAAATAACCATCTCTTCTCTGGACTCAGAACCCTACAATATTATCTCTATATAGAAATCAAGGTAATTACATTACATGTCACTTGTTAGTCGCTTTTATCCAAACGACTTACACACTCAATACTGTGGACAATCCCCACAGGAGCACTTTGGGGTAAAGTGTCTCAGGGACACAACGACATGCTGACTGCAGTGGGACTCGAACTTGCTACCCCCTGATTCAAAGTCCAGCCCACTGAGCCACAACCTTCCTAATTGGTCAAACATATCTTGATATACTTTATATTATTTGAGTTATCGCCAATGATGAGTGATGGAAACACAGTAAAGATGTTCTGTCTGAGTCCATTGAAAAATAACCGTCTATTTGTAAGCATACCGGTCTGTGCCGACTACCCATTTAACTGAATGTCTGTATTTATGTATCATTTGCCAAGACTTAGAAGGAAAGGGGTAATGTATGTTTGTGAGCAATAACGTTTAGATTTGAGTGGACTATAACTGAGGCGGGTGTGATTTTTATTTACACCTCCATGATATATATGTGTGGAATAAATAGACAGTTCTAAAAAAGAATAAAATAACCATCTCTCCTCTTGTCTCCAGAGTCAGACGACGAGTACAGTGACGATGACGATATGAGCTGGAAGGTGCGTCGCTCCTCCATCAAGTGTCTGGAGTCTCTGATCGCGACGCGGCGGGACCTCCTGCTGAGCTTCTTCTCCTCCGTCTGCCCCGCCCTGCTGGCCCGCTTCAAGGAGCGCGAGGAGAACGTGAGGGCGGACGTGTTCAGCGCATTCTCCTCGCTGCTCAGACAGACCCGAGGGGGAACTAGCCTGCAGGGAAACATGAGGCCCGGGGGGGAGGAGCCGGCCCTCACACTGCTGAAGACACAGGTGTTTAAAGATCTCCTATCATGCTATTTTTAGGCATATATCATGGGTCTCAGATATATCCCAAAACCCACAAGTTGTGGTTTCCTGCGGGAGCTGAGGTCTGTTCGTCTTAGTGAATGTTTACTTTAGAGAACACCATTTCTACGTGTTAGAACAGACCTTCATCCTTTGGGGCGGGTGCTGTGCCTTTATTATAGAGAACAGCCAACAAATAGACAGGAGAGGGGATTCAAAGTTTAATTTCTCATGTGTGCCAAGTTGTCCAAGCACTTTGAAACTATAAGAATAACGCTTTATTATATTATAAAGGCCTCAAGTCAGAATCAACCCCTTGTTAAAGCACTTTCAGCGTCACCTATTATATGAAAAGTGTTATATGAATAAAGCTTTATTATTATTATTAACTTAGGCTGAATGGGTGCACGTCATCTACTACTTAAATAATGCTTATATGATTTCTGTTAAATTTAGAAATTTTTTGGAGATCTCAAAACTCAAAAGCTTGTTTTCCTGAGGAGCTGAAGTCTGTTCGTCTTAGTGGACTTTTACTTTAGACAACACCGATTGTATGAGAGAGAGTGTGTGTGTGTGTGTGTGTGTGTGTGTGTGTGTGTGTGTGTGTGTGTGTGTGTGTGTGTGTGTGTGTGTGTGTGTGGTGTGTGTGTGTGTGTGTGTGTGTGTGTGTGTGTCCAGGTGCCTCTGATAGTGAAGGCTCTGCACAGGCAGCTGAAGGAGAAGAGCATCAGATCCAGACAGGGCTGCTTCTCCCTGCTCTCTGAGCTGAGTCACACTGCTCCTGGAGCTCTGGAGACGCACATCCCTGCTCTGATACCAGGTACCCCCCCCCCCCCCCACACACACACACACACACACACACACATACACACACACACACACACACACACACTCTTCATTTTACACTGCCCTTATCTTTTTATTTCTACCTCATCCCTACTAACATCTATACGTCTTTTGATTACATTCAACCTTCTCACTTTCTCCCTCCTCCTCCTCCTCCTCCTCCTCCTCCTCTTCCTCCTCCTCCTCCTCCTCTTCCTCCTCCTCCTCCTCCTCCTCCTCCTCCTCCTCCTCCTCCTCCCTCTCCTCCTCAGGTATCGTCTTCTCCCTGACTGACAGGTCCTCCTCCTCCACCATGAGGATCGATGCTCTCTCCTTCCTCCATGTTCTCCTCCTCTCCCACCCTCCTGAAGCCTTTCAGCCACACATGCAGGTCCTTTAAACATCTTCAATCAATCAGTCAATCAATCAATCAATCAATAAGTAAATAATCAAGTTAAAAAACCAAGGATGTAAAAGTTTGAGTGCCGGGGATGAATGATTTTGAAAAGAGATTAGTCTTAAGAGCAGGTAGAGCATCAACGCCCTGATGACCTGCAGAGGCCAGAAGTCTCTCTGCTGCACTGCGATGACCTTAGAGCAGGTTTTAACATGTTGTTCAGGCTGTTCCTGCTTTTCAGTGAAAAACAAATAAGGCTCTCAATGAATGCTTGGTACAAACAAAGCGTTTCTCTGTGTGTGTGCACCACACCTCTAACGCTGGTCAGAAGCACAGTGTGTCCTAATTCATCTCGCTTCCACCTCCTGATGCGCTCAGGTCTGATCCAGAGTCCGCAAAACAAGATCAGGAGTCAGAGCCTTCAGCTACCAATAAGTCTTTTTATTGTCTTTTGTTGCATCTTATTTTATTTTGTTTTATTTCTATTTGTACTCCACACACTATCTTGTCTTCTCATGTTGCTCTAACTCCATCTTATACAATGTTGTTGTTTTTAAAGCCCACTGAGACACACTTGGTTTTGTGATATTGGGCTATACAAATAAAGTTTGATTTGAATTGATTAGATTTGATTAGATGTGCTCGTCCCCCTGCAGGTGCTGCTCCCCCCGGTGATCTCCTGTGTGGAGGACTCCTTCTATAAGATCACCTCAGAGGCTCTGCTGGTGGTCCTGCAGCTGGTGAGAGTGATGAGGCCTCAAGGACCCTCAGCAGGGGGGGGATTCGACCCCAAACCCTTCGTCAGAGAGGTGAGGAGCGGTTTACAGAGGGAGCAGGGTATAAATAAGAGCCCATGGTCGACTGATCTGAGTGGGATGTAAGAGGTCTGAGACGCATGAAGGGGCACAGCCATGTAGGGCCTTGTGAGTAACAAACGGTAGCCTGAAGACTACTCAACAAAGGCAGAAAGCACTGCAACATGCTGCTTTATTTGGAGCTACAATCTTGTAAGATCTTTTATAAATATTGGGATAGCTACATGCAAAATGTATTGTTATGTTTCCGACAATTCACCACAGTAGAGATGACGCCTCAGCAATAATCAATCTGACTCTCGGCTGCCTGCAGTTCGAGCTGTTCCTGGGTCTGTTGCCTTTGTAGCTGATACATAAATATCTGTCATACTGAGCTTTAAGAGAGGTATTTTAAACGTTGAAAACTGAAGTCTTGCGATTTCTGTGATATAGATCTTTAAAAACACCACATTGTCTGCATCTTCTCGCAATCTGCAGCTCCATCTTAGTTTTTCAGACTTCTTTTTTGTGACTTTCTTTTGAGAAGTTATTCTGATGTTTTTGATGCAGCGATTTTTGCATTAAGTTTAATGAAATGGAAAGTTGGACATAATCGACTGGTGGTTCTTTGCCAACATATAAAAGTATCCGGAAGAAGAAAAAAGAAAATCAGCCCAGCTTCCTCAACAACCCATCTGTTGGTAATCTATACAAAAATAATCTAATTTTTGTTATTCCTCCGAAGGTGTTTTCCGTGACCCTGAAGAGGCTGAAGGCCACAGACATCGACCAGGAAGTGAAAGAGAGGGCTATTTCCTGTATGGGTCACATGGTGTGTCACCTGGGCGACCACCTGGGGGCGGAGCTTCAAGGTGTTCTAGCCATCTTCCTGGAGAGGTTGAAGAACGAGATCACGAGACTGACCGCCGTCCGGACCCTCACCCTCATCTCCGCCTCCCCCCTTAAAGGTGCAGTGGGGCACTATGTTTTATCTCATAAATGATATGTATTTAAAAATGACATTTTCTTTAATATCATTACGTTTATTTACTTTCTACTTCACTCAATGTTTCAGTTTAATATCATACAGATTTCAGTTGTCCTCCTCTTCCTCTCCAGTGAAAACTATTCATCTCCAGATTATTTGTGATAAACTAAAGAAAGAAGGGTTCCTTTATAAAAATGTCCTCCTACTTAAGCAAAATGAAGTATTTAAAAGCCTCTTGGATTAGCTGGAAAATCGTCACAGAGCTGAAAACAGGCTGTATTTCTGAGAAACCAATGAAAAGTTAACTTCACAGATACGTGGTTTTCACATGACAAAGCTACAAACATGATGTCCTCATATCAGAGCCTGTATTGCTCTAGATGTAACTACCCAACAGTATTTACAATTAGCAAAAACAGCAATAAAATGCCACAAAAAAAAGAAGAGAATAATTCCCAGAAAATGTCTCAAATTCTTTTCCCACGAATATGTGAAAAATTCCCCCCAAAATATGAAGAAAACGTCCTTAAATCCCCCCAAAATGTTCTGAAGAATACAGTAGATGATATATGTCTGAAATGTGAACATTTTATTTACGACTTTCCTTCACTGTGTGTGAATACCTTTACTGCAGTAGAGGCTTTACTGTAAACATTTCCTCCTCCTCTCTCAGATCGACCTGTCCTCCATCCTGCCGGAGACGCTCTCAGTTTGGGATCTTTTCCTCCGAAAGAATGACGATGCGAGTTCCTGCAAGCTCGGGGCGCTGGCCTGTCTCACCTCGAATCATCACGCATCAAGGCGGCAAATCATCAAACCTGCCGGCGCTGGAACCGGTCTCCTGAGCAGAGCTGCCGGGTCTGGTGGACGAGAGCGGACATGCCACGTATCACAGGTACCAACACACCACACACACCACACACACACACACACACACACAAACACACACACACACACACACACACACACAGCACACACACACAGCACACACACACACACACCACACACACACACACACACACCACACACACACACAGGACATTAAAAAGGATCATGTTCTTGCTATATGTCAGGTTCACTATCAGTATGCTAGTGTCTCTACTTAAAGAGTCCTCTCCTGCTGATGTTCAGGTGTACTATCAGTAGTGTAGTGTCTCTACTTTAAAGAGTCCTCTCCTGCTGATGTTCAGGTGTATATCAGTATGTAGTGTCTCTACTTAAAGAGTCCTCTCCTGCTGATGTTCAGGTGTATATCAGTAGTGTAGTGTCTCTACTTTAAAGAGTTCCTCTCCTGCTGATGTTCAGGTGTATATCAGTATGTAGTGTCTCTACTTTAAAGAGTCCTCTCCTGCTGATGTTCAGGTGTATATCAGTATGTAGTGTCTCTACTTTAAAGAGTCCTCTCCTGCCTGATGTTCAGGTGTATATCAGTGTGTAAGTGTCCTCTACTTTAAAGAGTCCTCTCTCATGCTGATGTTCAGGTGTATATCAGTATGTAGTGTCTCTACTTTAAAGAGTCCTCTCCTGCTGATGTTCAGGTGTATATCATTGTGTAGTGTCTCTACTTTAAAGAGTCCTCTCCTGCTGATGTTCAGGTGTATATCAGTATGTAGTGTCTCTACTTTAAAGAGTCCTCTCCTGCTGATGTTCAGGTGTATATCAGTATGTAGTGTCTCTACTTTAAAGAGTCCTCTCCTCTGATGTTCAGGTGTATAGTAGTAATTCAGTATGTAGGTCCTCTACTTTAAAGAGTCCTCTCCTGCTGATGTTCAGGTGTATATCAGTATGTAGTGTCTCTACTTTAAAGAGTCCTCTCCTGCTGATGTTCAGGTGTATATCAGTATGTAGTGTCTCTACTTTAAAGAGTCCTCTCCTGCTGATGTTCAGGTGTATATCAGTATGTAGTGTCTCTACTTTAAAGAGTCCTCTCCTGCTGATGTTCAGGTGTATATCAGTATGTAGTGTCTCTACTTTTAAAGAGTCCTCTCCTGCTGATGTTCATGTGTATATCAGTATGTAGTGTCTCTACTTTAAAGAGTCCTCTCCTGCTGATGTTCAGGTGTATATCAGTATGTAGTGTCTCTACTTTAAAGAGTCCTCTCCTGCTGATGTTCAGGTGTATATCAGTATGTAGTGTCTCTACTTTAAAGAGTCCTCTCCTGCTGATGTTCAGGTGTATTTCAGTATGTAGTGTCTCTACTTTAAAGAGTCCTCTCCTGCTGATGTTCAGGTGTATATCAGTATGTAGTGTCTCTACTTTAAAGAGTCCTCTCCTGCTGATGTTCAGGTGTATATCAGTATGTAAGGTCTGTACTTTAAAGAGTCCTCTCCTGCTGATGTTCAGGTGTATATCAGTATGTAGTGTCTCTACTTTAAAGAGTCCTCTCCTGCTGATGTTCAGGTGTATATCAGTATGTAGTGTCTCTACTTTAAAGAGTCCTCTCCTGCTGATGTTCAGGTGTATATCAGTATGTAGTGTCTCTACTTTAAAGAGTCCCTCTCTGCTGATGTTCAGGTGTATATCAGTATGTAGTGTCTCTACTTTAAAGAGTCCTCTCCTGCTGATGTTTCAGGTGTATATCAGTATGTAGTGTCTCTACTTTAAAGAGTCCTCTCCTGCTGATGTTCAGGTGTATATCAGTATGTAGTGTCTCTACTTAAAGAGTCCTCTCCTGCTGATGTTCAGGTGTATATCAGTATGTAGTGTCTCTACTTTAAAGAGTCCTCTCCTGCTGATGTTCAGGTGTATATCAGTATGCTAGTGTCTCTACTTTAAAGAGTCCATCTCCTGCTGATGTTCAGGTTGTATTTCAGTATGTGTGTCTCTACTTTAAAGAGTCCTCTCCTGCTGATGTTCAGGTGTATGATCAGTATGTAGTGGTCTCTACTTTAAAGAGTCCTCTCCTGCTGATGTTCAGGGTGTATATCAGTATTAGTGTCTCTACTTTAAAGAGTCCCTCCTGCTGATGTTCAGGTGTATATCAGTATGTAATGTCTGTACTTTAAAGAGTCCTCTCCTGCTGATGTTCAGGTGTATGTCAGTATGTAGTGTCTCTACTTTAAAGAGTCCTCTCCTGCTGATGTTTCAGGTGTATATCAGTATGTAGTGTCTCTACTTTAAAGAGTCCTCTCCTGCTGATGTTCAGGTGTATATCAGTATGTAAGGTCTGTACTTTAAAGAGTCCTCTCCTGCTGATGTTCAGGTGTATGTCAGTGTGTAGTGTCTCTACTTTAAAGAGTCCTCTCCTGCTGATGTTCAGGTGTATATCAGTGTGTAGTGTCTCTACTTTAAAGAGTCCTCTCCTGCTGATGTTCAGGTGTATATCAGTATGTAGTGTCTCTACTTTTAAAGAGTCCTCTCCTGCTGATGTTCAGGTGTATATCAGTAGTGTAGTGTCTCTACTTTAAGAGTCCTCTCCTGCTGATGTTCAGGTGTATATCAGTATGTAGTGTCTCTTACTTTAAAGAGTCCTCTCCTGCTGATGTTCAGGTGTATATCAGTATGTAGTGTCTCTACTTTAAAGAGTCCTCTCCTGCTGATGTTCAGGTGTATATCAGTATGTAGTGTCTCTACTTTAAAGAGTCCTCTCCAGCTGATGTTCAGGTGTATATCAGTATGTAGTGTCTCTACTTTAAAGAGTCCTCTCCTGCTGATGTTCAGGTGTATATCAGTATGTTGTGGTCTCTACTTTAAAGAGTCCTCTCCTGCTGATGTTCAGGTGTATATCAGTATGTAGTGTCTCTACTTTAAAGAGTCCTCTCCTGCTGATGTTCAGGTGTATATCAGTATGTAGTGTCTCTACTTTAAAGAGTCCTCTCCTGCTGATGTTCAGGTGTATATCAGTATGTAGTGTCTCTACTTTAAAGAGTCCTCTCCTGCTGATGTTCAGGTGTATATCAGTATGTAGTGTCTCTACTTTAAAGAGTCCTCTCCTGCTGATGTTCAGGTGTATATCAGTAGTGTAGTGTCTCTACTTTAAAGAGTCCTCTCCTGCTGATGTTCAGGTGTATATCAGTATGTAGTGTCTCCTACTTTAAAGAGTCCTCTCCTGCTGATGTTCAGGTGTATATCATTATGTAGTGTCTCTACTTTAAAGAGTCCTCTCCTGCTGATGTTCAGGTGTATATCAGTATGTAGTGTCTCTACTTTAAAGAGTCCTCTCCTGCTGATGTTCAGGTGTATATCAGTATGGTAGTGTCTCTACTTTAAAGAGTCCTCTCCTGCTGATGTTCAGGTGTATATCAGTATGTAGTGTCTCTACTTTAAAGAGTCCTCTCCTGCTGATGTTCAGGTGTATATCAGTATGTAGTGTCTCTACTTTAAAGAGTCCTCTCCTGCTGATGTTCAGGTGTATATCAGTATGTAGTGTCTCTACTTTAAAGAGTCCTCTCCTGCTGATGTTCAGGTGTATATCAGTATGTAGTGTCTCTACTTTAAAGAGTCCTCTCCTGCTGATGTTTCAGGTGTATATCAGTATGTAGTGTCTCTACTTTAAAGAGTCCTCTCCTGCTGATGTTCAGGTGTATATCAGTATGTAGTGGTCCTCTACTTTAAAGAGTCCCTCTCCTGCTGATGTTCAGGTGTATATCAGTATGTAGTGTCTCTACTTTAAAGAGTCCTCTCCTGCTGATGTTCAGGTGTATATCAGTATGTAGTGTTCTCTACTTTAAAGAGTCCTCTCCTGGCTGATGTTCAGGTGTATATCAGTATGTAGTGTCTCTACTTTAAAGAGTCCTCTCCTGCTGATGTTCAGGTGTATATCAGTATGTAGTGTCTCTACTTTAAAGAGTCCTCTCCTGCTGATGTTCAGGTGTATATCAGTATGTAGTGTCTCTACTTTAAAGAGTCCTCTCCTGCTGATGTTCAGGTGTATATCAGTATGTAGTGTCTCTACTTTAAAGAGGTCCTCTCCTGCTGATGTTCAGGTGTATATCAGTATGTAGTGTCTCTACTTTAAAGAGTCCTCTCCTGCTGATGTTCAGGTGTATATCAGTATGTAGTGTCTCTACTTTAAAGAGTCCTCTCCTGCTGATGTTCAGGTGTATATCAGTATGTAGTGTCTCTACTTTAAAGAGTCCTCTCCTGCTGATGTTCAGGTGTATATCAGTATGTAGTGTCTCTACTTTAAAGAGTCCTCTCCTGCTGATGTCAGGTGTATATCAGTATGTAGTGTCTCTACTTTAAAGAGTCCTCTCCTGCTGATGTTCAGGTGTATATCAGTATGTAGTGTCTCTACTTTAAAGAGTCCTCTCCTGCTGATGTTCAGGTGTATATCAGTATGTAGTGTCTCTACTTTAAAGAGTCCTCTCCTGCTGATGTTCAGGTGTATATCAGTATGTAGTGTCTCTACTTTAAAGAGTCCCTCCTGATGTTCAGGTGTATTATCAGTAATGTATGTCTCTACTTTAAAGAGTCCTCTCCTGCTGATGTTCAGGTGTATATCAGTATGTAGTGTCTCTACTTTAAAGAGTCCTCTCCTGCTGATGTTCAGGTGTATATCAGTATGTAGTGTCTCTACTTTAAAGAGTCCTCTCCTGCTGATGTTCAGGTGTATATCAGTATGTAGTGTCTCTACTTTAAAGAGTCCTCTCCTGCTGATGTTCAGGTGTATATCAGTATGTAGTGTCTCTACTTTAAAGAGTCCTCTCCTGCTGATGTTCAGGTGTATATCAGTATGTAGTGTCTCTACTTTAAAGAGTCCTCTCCTGCTGATGTTCAGGTGTATATCAGTATGTAGTGTCTCTACTTTAAAGAGTCCTCTCCTGCTGATGTTCAGGTGTATATCAGTATGTAGTGTCCTCTACTTTAAAGAGTCCTCTCCTGCTGATGTTCAGGTGTATATCAGTATGTAGTGTCTCTACTTAAAGAGTCCTCTCCTGCTGATGTTCAGGTGTATATCAGTATATAGTCTCTACTTTAAAGAGTCCTCTCCTGCTGATGTTCAGGTGTATATCAGTATGTAGTGTCTCTACTTTAAAGAGTCCTCTCCTGCTGATGTTCAGGTGTATATCAGTAGTGTAGTGTCTCTACTTTAAAGAGTCCTCTCCTGCTGATGTTCAGGTGTATATCAGTATGTAGTGTCTCTACTTTAAAGAGTCCTCTCCTGCTGATGTTCAGGTGTATATCAGTATGTAGTGTCTCTACTTTAAAGAGTCCTCTCTCCCTGCTGATGTTCAGGTGTATATCAGTATGTAGTGTCTCTACTTTAAAGAGTCCTCTCCATGCTGATGTTCAGGTGTATATCAGTATGTAGTGTCTCTACTTTAAAGAAGTCCTCTCCTGCTGATGTTCAGGTGTATATCAGTATGTAGTGTCTCTACTTTAAAGAGTCCTCCTCCTGCTGATGTTCAGGTGTATATCAGTATGTAGTGTCTCTACTTTAAAGAGTCCTCCTCCTGCTGATGTTCAGGTGTATATCAGTATGTAGTGGTCTCTACTTTAAAGAGTCCTCTCCTGCTGATGTTCAGGTGTATATCAGTATGTAGTGTCTCTACTTTAAAGAGTCCTCTCCTGCTGGATGTTCAGGTGTATATCAGTAGTGTCTCTACTTTAAAGAGTCCCTCTCCTGCTGATGTTCAGGTTGTATATCAGTATGTAGTGGTCTCTACTTTAAAAGAGTCCTCTCCTGCTGATGTTCAGTTGTATATCAGTATGTAGTGTCTCTACTTTAAAGAGTCCTCTCCCTGCTGATGTTCAGGTGTATATCAGTATGTAGTGTCTCTACTTTAAAGAGTCCTCTCCTGCTGATGTTCAGGTGTATATCAGTATGTAGTGTCTCTACTTTAAAGAGTCCTCTCCTGCTGATGTTCAGGTGTATATCAGTATGTAGTGTCTCTACTTTAAAGAGTCCTCTCCTGCTGATGTTCAGGTGTATATCAGTATGTAGTGTCTCTACTTAAAGAGTCCTCTCCTGCTGATGTTCAGGTGTATATCAGTATGTAGTGTCTCTACTTAAAGGAGTCCTCTCCTGCTGATGTTCAGGTGTATATCAGTATGTAGTGTCTCTACTTTAAAGAGTCCTCTCCTGCTGATGTTCAGGTGTATATCATATGTAGTGTCTCTACTTTAAAGAGTCCTCTCCTGCTGATGTTCAGGTGTATATCAGTATGTAGTGTCCTCTACTTTAAAGAGTCCTCTCCTGCTGATGTTCAGGTGTATATCAGTATGTAGTGTCTCTACTTTAAAGAGTCCTCTCCTGCTGATGTTCAGGTGTATATCAGTATGTAGTGTCTCTACTTTAAAGAGTCCTCTCCTGCTGATGTTCAGGTCTCCGTCTCCCTGCTCAGCGTCATGGCTCGGTCCTGCCCCCCCTCTCTCAGTACGATCAGCCTCTCGGTGCTGCCCTGCGTCTTCAGGCTGGTTCTCTCTCCTCTCCTGCAGGGGGCAGCGCTCTCCTCCATCCTGGACCTCCTGCAGGCGCTGGTGCTGTCCAACACCTCCAACCTGGGCTACAGGTACCTGTGTGTGTGTGTGTGTGTGTGTGTGTGTGTGTGTGTGTGTGTGTGTGTGTGTGTGTGTGTGTGTGTGTGTGTGTGTGTGGTCTAGCATTACTATACTTGTGGGGACCTAAATCTGTTTACATAGTCACGTGTGGGGACTCGCCTCCCTTATGGGGACAGAATGGAGGTCCCCATAAGGGGATTCATTAATTTTAGGGTGAAGACTTGGTTAGGATTAGGGTTAGGGTTAGGCATGTGTCGGTTATGGTTAAGGTTAGGATAAGTCTCCAGGAAATGCATGTAAGTCAATATAATGTCCCCTGAAGTGATGTATACATGGTATGTGTGTGTGTGTGTGTGTGTGTGTGTGTGTGTGTTGATTGTTTTATATCTTATAAATATTTATGTTGCATTGTTAGAGGAGCGTGGGACTGTAGCTTCTGTGCATATATTTATCTCTTTAATTCTGTAAATCCATGTTGCAGTGTTATTGTTTGCTCCTTGCTTTAAAAAACAAAACAACCTATTCTTCTGTCTGTGCTTTTGAATGCACCATTTAAAACTAAAGCACGTTTTATGTATTAGTTTATTCTCATGGCTATTATTATAAAACCAAACATGTACACTTAAGGCAGTTTTTGTAGCGCATTATGGAAAGGAGCAGGGAGCATTTGACCCCTTACTCATACATCGATGGTGTGTTACAGCTACTTGCAAACAATTCTTACACTAACATGAAACCAAGTCAACACAACAATCTAACCTCAAAGAAGCAGGTTACCTGACATCTTCATACTTTCTAATAATACTTTTTGTTCTCGTCCTACTTGATACTAAAACCGTTTCTGATTCTGATATGACGATTGAATCTTAAATCCTCCTCTCCCTCCTCTCTCTCCCTCTTCCTCCTCATCCTGCTCTTCCTCCTCTCAGTCAGTTGCTGAAGTCTCTCACAGATCCGTTCCACCTCCCCTCCTCCTCTTCCTCCTCTTCCTCCCCCCTGATCCACAGACAGTCGTATCTCTCTGTTTCTCGCTGTGTGGCGGCTCTCTCCTCCTCCTGCCCCAAAGAAACCCCCTCCACGGTGAATGGACTCCTGCAGGAGGTGGGTGGGATTACAACTGTTTCTGTATCAGAGTACATTTATTTTAAGTACTTAAGTGAAATGTTGACACACTTGTGCTTTGGTTGAGTATTTCCATTGTATGCTACTGTGTTCTTCTACTCCACTACAACTCAGAGGTAAATGGTGTACTTTTACTCCACTACATTTAGTTAATACCCTTTGTTACTTAATCATGAAAGCTAAGCACATACCCACAAAGATGGGACACTCAGAATACAACTGTATTCACCAACATAACGACGAAGTACTAAAGACATCTACTAAAGTAGAAGCAGAGGTGTGAAGTACAGAAGTATTTACTCAAGAACTGTTCTTAAGTACAATTTTGACACACTTGCACTTTAGTTAAGTATTTCTATGTTGTGCTACTGTGTACTTTTACTCCACTACATGTATTTATACCTTTAGTTACTTCACAGATGTGGATGAATGATGTGAAATATAATCAAGTGTTGAATCAGACTTTAGTTCCACCTGGAGTAAATCCACCAGCTACCCTGCAGTATACAAAGTACTTCAAACTAGCTGCACCTTCACCAGCTTTGAGAACACTTTCATGATCAATCATTATAAAACATATCATATATATTATTCTGAAATGGACCAATCTGCACAACGACTACTTTTACTGTCGCTACTTTCACTATATTTAGATGATAATACTTTTCTACTTTCAGATCTGAGTACTTCTACTTTTACTCAAGTACCAGATCTGAGTACTTCTACTTTTACTCAAAAACAAGATCTGAGTACTTCTACTTTTACTCAAGTACAAGATCTGAGTACTTCTACTTTTACTCAAGTACAAGACCTGAGTACTTCTACTTTTACTCAAGTACAAGATCTGAGTACTTCTACTTTTACTGAAGTACAAGATCTGAGTACTTCTACTTTTACTCAAGTACAAGATCTGAGTACTTCTACTTTTACTCAAGTACAAGATCTGAGTACTTCTACTTTTACTGAAGTACAAGATCTGAGTACTTCTACTTTTACTCAAGTACAAGATCTGAGTACTTCTACTTTTACTCAAGTACAAGATCTGAGTACTTCTACTTTCACTACAAGTACAAGATCTGAGTACTTCTACTTTTACTCAAGTACAAGATCTGAGTACTTCTACTTTTACTCAAGTACAAGATCTGAGTACTTCTACTTTTACTGAAGTACAAGATCTGAGTACTTCTACTTTTACTCAAGTACAAGATCTGAGTACTTCTACTTTTACTCAAGTACAATATCTGAGTACTTCTACTTTTACTCAAGTACAAGATCTGAGTACTTCTACTTTCACTACAAGATCTGAGTACTTCTACTTTTACTCAAGTACAAGATCTGAGTACTTCTACTTTTACTCAAGTACAAGATCTGAGTACTTCTACTTTTACTCAAGTACAAGATCTGAGTACTTCTACTTTAGTAACAGATCTGAGTACTTCTACTTTTACTCAAGTACAAGATCTGAGTACTTCTACTTTCACTACAAGATCTGAGTACTTCTACTTTTACTCAAGTACAAGATCTGAGTACTTCTACTTTTACTCAAGTACAAGATCTGAGTACTTCTACTTTTACTCAAGTAACAGATCTGAGTACTTCTACTTTTACTCAAGTACAAGATCTGAGTACTTCTACTTTCACTACAAGATCTGAGTACTTCTACTTTTACTCAAGTACAAGATCTGAGTACTTCTACTTTTACTCAAGTACAAGATCTGAGTACTTCTACTTTCACTACAAGATCTGAGTACTTCTACTTTTACTCAAGTACAAGATCTGAGTACTTCTACTTTTACTCAAGTACAAGATCTGAGTACTTCTACTTTTACTCAAGTACAAGATCTGAGTACTTCTACTTTTACTCAAGTCAAATATCTGAATACTTCTACTTTTACTCAAGTCAAATATCTGAGTACTTCTCCCCGCTCCTCTCCTCAGGTGAAGAACCCTGGTTCTCCAGAGTCGGCCCGTGTGCTGGCTCTTCTGTGTCTGGGGGAGGTGGGGAGGAGCGGCAGCCTGGGGGGGAGGAAGGAGGTGCAGGGAGTCATCCTGGAGGCCATTTCTTCCACCAATGAGGAGGTAACACACACACACTCCCAGAACACAAATACAATGGAGTCAAGTGTCAATAATTTATCCGAGAATATCAAGCACATGGTACCTGTCTACTCTAGCTCCACACAAACCAACATTTTATCTACATTTAAACTTGTTTTCCCGTGGTCGTTCCCTCATACCTTTCTGCATTTACTGTTGACAGTTTAAACTGAATCAGGATTATAGTTCAGACAGTCCACTTAGAGTCAAGAAGAAGAAGACGTACTTTATTAATCCCTAACAGGGACATATCTTTCTCCACTATGTTGTGTTTACATTACACACACAGGGGAGGATATACACTCACACACACAGAGGATATACATGCACACACACACAGAGGATATAAACTCACACACACAGAGGATATACATACACACACAGGGGAGGATATACATGCACACACAGAGGATATACATACACACACACAACCACATCAACGTGGATGTGTATGTTGACAAATGAAGCCATCAGAAGATGTTGGTGTGTGTTTCAGGTGAGGACGGCAGCGTCCTGCGCCTTGGGCAGCATGGCGGTGGGCAGTCTGAGCGACTACCTTCCCTTCCTGCTGACGGAGATCTCCACCCAGCCGAGGAGGCAGTACCTGCTGCTGAACTCCCTCAAAGAGGTCATCAGGTGGGTGTTATTAATAATATAATACAAGATCACCTGCACCTTAAGAACAACAACGCCAACTTTTAAACCGCCTCCAAAACTCATTGTGGTAAAGTAACAATGACTCAAGTAAGGGGGTTTCACTTTTGCTGAACATTCAAGCCCTATTGAACACTTCATTGAGTCCCGTTTAGATTTGAAAACCAAGCAAGGTATACTTTTTACAAAATGTGTTGATTTGAACCATATTTTTGGAAAGTTCAGTTCTGTCTCTTCTCTCCTGCAGCCCCGCCTTCTTATTGAAGCGTTTAAAACTGGCGTCTTTGATTTTCTCCAAGTGGCAATTTCACCAGATTGCTTTTAAACTACGGTAACACCATTTTCCTCCTCTTCCTCCTCTTCCTCCTCTTCCTCAGTGCCTGTCCAGCCTCCAGTCTCTCCCCCCACGTTGAGTCCATCTGGTCTCTGCTCTTCCAGCACTGCGAGTGTCCGGAGGAGGGAACCAGGAACCTGGTGGCTGAGTGTCTGGGAAAACTGACTTTAGTGAACGCTGCACAGCTCCTGCCTCGACTCAAACAGCAGCTGAGAGCCGGTAAGACCCAGTGTGAGGAGGGAAACGTGTGTTTAACAAAGAGGTCACTCTTACTTCATTACTGTACTTAAATACATTTTTCTAGTATCAGTACTTTACTCCACTACTTATTTTTCGGACCACTTTTTACTTCTACTTCTTACATGTTGAACACAAATACCTGTACTTTCTACTTCTTACATGTTGAACACAAATACCTGTACTTTCTACTTCTTACATGTTGAACACAAATACCTGTACTTTCTACTTCTTACATGTTGAACACAAATACCTGTACTTTCTACTTCTTACATGTTGAACACAAATACCTGTACTTTCTACTTCTCACATGTTGAACTCAAATACCTGTACTTTCTACTTCTTACATGTTGAACACAAATACCTGTACTTTCTACTTCTTACATGTTGAACCCAAATACCTGTACTTTCTACTTCTTACATGTTGAACTCAAATACCTGTACTTTCTACTTCTTACATTTTGAACTCAAATACCTGTACTTTCTACTTCTTACATGTTGAACACAAATACCTGTACTTTCTACTTCTTACATGTTGAACACAAATACCTGTACTTTCTACTTCTTACATGTTGAACACAAATACCTGTACTTTCTACTTCTTACATGTTGAACACAAATACCTGTACTTTCTACTTCTTACATGTTGAACTCAAATACCTGTACTTTCTACTTCTTACATTTTGAACTCAAATACCTGTACTTTCTACTTCTTACATGTTGAACTCAAATACCTGTACTTTCTACTTCTTACATGTTGAACTCAAATACCTGTACTTTCTACTTCTTACATTTTGAACTCAAATACCTGTACTTTCTACTTCTTACATGTTGAACACAAATACCTGTACTTTCTACTTCTTACATGTTGAACACAAATACCTGTACTTTCTACTTCTTACATGTTGAACTCAAATACCTGTACTTTCTACTTCTTACATTTTGAACTCAAATACCTGTACTTTCTACTTCTTACATGTTGAACTCAAATACCTGTACTTTCTACTTCTTACATGTTGAACTCAAATACCTGTACTTTCTACTTCTTACATGTTGAACTCAAATACCTGTACTTTCTACTTCTTACATGTTGAACTCAAATACCTGTACTTTCTACTTCTTACATGTTGAACTCAAATACCTGTACTTTCTACTTCTTACAGGTTGAACTCAAATACCTGTACTTTCTACTTCTTACATTTTGAACTCAAATACCTGTACTTTCTACTTCTTACATGTTGAACTCAAATACCTGTACTTTCTACTTCTTACATGTTGAACTCAAATACCTGTACTTTCTACTTCTTACATGTTGAACTCAAATACCTGTACTTTCTACTTCTTACATGTTGAACTCAAATACCTGTACTTTCTACTTCTTACATGTTGAACTCAAATACCTGTACTTTCTACTTCTTACAGGTTGAACACAAATACCTGTACTTTCTACTTCTTACAGGTTGAACTCAAATACCTGTACTTTCTACTTCTTACATGTTGAACTCAAATACCTGTACTTTCTACTTCTTACATGTTGAACACAAATACCTGTACTTTCTACTTCTTACATGTTGAACCCAAATACCTGTACTTTCTACTTCTTACATGTTGAACTCAAATACCTGTACTTTCTACTTCTCACATGTTGAACTCAAATACCTGTACTTTCTACTTCTTACATGTTGAACTCAAATACCTGTACTTTCTACTTCTTACATGTTGAACTCAAATACCTGTACTTTCTACTTCTTACATGTTGAACACAAATACCTGTACTTTCTACTTCTTACATGTTGAACCCAAATACCTGTACTTTCTACTTCTTACATGTTGAACTCAAATACCTGTACTTTCTACTTCTTACATGTTGAACTCAAATACCTGTACTTTCTACTTCTTACATGTTGAACTCAAATACCTGTACTTTCTACTTCTTACATGTTGAACTCAAATACCTGTACTTTCTACTTCTTACATGTTGAACTCAAATACCTGTACTTTCTACTTCTTACATGTTGAACTCAAATACCTGTACTTTCTACTTCTCTCATTTTCCAAACAGCTGGTTCCTTTAGTCTGAATGTGTGTTTGATGCGTGATCATTATTCTTTAGAGTCATTGCGTGCCTATTGATTTGAACACGATCCGTGTATCCATCATTTCCTGGTCTTCTCTAAAGAAGAGGGACCAATGGAAACGTTGTCATGTTGCCGTTGTTCAGCATGGAAACATTCATTAGCTAACAATGACATTATTGTTCTATTAATATAAAGGGAGGTCAGGTACTCTTTAAAACAGCTGCTAGTTATGGGTACTTTTTACTGAAGTATATTTCAAAGCCTCTTTACTTTTACTTGAGTAAAAAGTTTAGTCAGTACTTCTACTTTTACCAGAGTATTTTTAAACACGAGTATCTGTACTTCTACTTGAGTAAAGAATGTGGACACAATGAAACCCATTAAAGCTGAAAAGCACGTTTCTATCAGGCTTTATATAGAGTCCTGGATTAAAGATGTAAGGTAACGCAATGATAGTTTATATAGCACCTTTCAACACAAGGCAATCCAAAGTGCTTCATGAAAAACATTTAGAGCATTAAGAAATACTTCTACTTTTTACTATTTTCAACCAGATTAAGCCATTTTCTAATGTTTGCTCCCTGAAGTCAACACATGGTTTCCTGATAGAAATCCAAACAGCTTTAATTACTTTTCATATTAAGATTTTGCGTTGCAAAATATTCAATAAACTTTAAACAAAATTACATCTCTGAAAATAAATGAGGGAAAAAACAGTTTTAGGTACAAAGAAATGGTAAAAATAATATGTTTTTTTCTGCAGATAATATTTCTGTACTTCACTAAAGTGAGAATTTGAATATAGGATTCTCACTTGTTAAGGAGTATTTTGACTTTACTGTGTTCTGAATACTTCTTTCACCACTGCCAACACCTCAGGGTTTTTGACTCTGAAAGACAGTGTTAAGGTTACAAAACAATGCATTTAACATCTTATACTGTGGTATGGTGATGATGTTAGTGTCAGTAATAATACCCCCCCCCCCCCCACAGGCTCTCCTCTGGCTCGCAGCATGGTGGTGACGGCTGTGAAATTCACTATCGTCGATCATCCTGCTCCAATAGACGCTCTGCTGAAGGACTGCATAGGTATCACACACACACACACACACACACACACACACACACACACACACACACACACACACACACACACACACACACACACACACACACACACACACACACACACACACACACACACACACACACACACACACATCTGAAATAACAGTAAAAAAGAAAAATAATATTCTTCAATAACGGTTTATTTTCTTCTTTTTTTAATAGATTTTTTTTTTTTAAAGCCTAGTTAAGAATGTGTTGAGGAATATATGTATATGCAAGTCTGTGTGTATGCATACATTTATGTGTATGTTTGCGTATTAGCCAGTGGGTAAATATACATTATATTTACGCACTGTCTTAAACGCTAGATTATTTTATTGTATATTTCTCATGTTTTGTTTAAAACATGTAGGAGATAATACAACTTACCTTGCCTATTCCCAATAAAAATACACAAAAAAAGGAAATAAAATGATTTGATTCCCAAGCCGACCAAACATTCCAGGCAATGTCTCCCCTCTGTCTCCCCCGCTCACTCTAAGATCTACAATAAAGACCCTCTGGCCCAAAAATACCTTTTAAAAATGCTGTGTGTTTGTCAGGTGACTTCCTGCAGACCCTGCAGGACGACGACCTGAACGTGCGGCGCGTCTCCTTGGTGATGTTTAACTCTGCCGCTCACAACAAGCCGTCTCTCATCCGCGGTCTCCTAGCAACAGTGCTGCCTCATCTGTACAGAGAGACCCAGATCAGGAAGGACCTCATCAGAGAGGTAACTCTTAAAGGGGCCCTATGTGCCTTACCTGTGACATGTTTCCATGCTTTAATGTAAAAAAAAGGTCTCTATTTTCCTTAGCCTATCACGACCATTTACATGGACAAAAACCTTTATAACAGGGAAAGGAAAACCCCCAAAAGCATAAACGGGCCTCTTTAATATAAAAATGATATTTCTGATGCTTGTATTTCGGTGCTGAATCCTGTTTGTTCTCTGCAGGTGGAGATGGGTCCGTTCAAACACACGGTGGACGACGGTCTGGACGTCCGTAAGGCTGCGTTCGAGTGCATGTACACTCTGCTAGACAGCTGCATGGAGGGGCTGGACGTCCTGCTGTTCCTGGACCACGTGGAGGAGGGACTCAAAGATCACTACGACATCAGGGTGGGTGCAACACATTGAGGAAATACAATTATAAAAGATCACATCTGCTTCTTAAATACAACCACGCCAACTTTTAAACAGCATCCTGAAAAACTCATAGTGGAAAGTACCAATTTCTCAAGTAGCTTACAATGCAATGCACAAATCAGAATGGGAGTATTTTATTTATTGAAGGAGAAATTGGATTTTGTGACAGTTGCTCCTTAACACCAAACAAAACATTTCTATAAAAATGTGAAGTTAAAGTAAAAATGTGCAATAAAAGAATAAAATAAAAGAGAAAATACATATTTATGAGAAGGTAAAGTACAAATTGTACAATATATAATTACACCATATGTAATACATGTGAATTAAAAGAAGAAGCAGTAGGAATAACAAGGTTCAAAAGACCATGACGAATTAATGAGACGTTAATAAAAACCGAAAAAAGTAAGAAAAATATATTAAATCAAAATGTTAATAAAGACAAACGTATACAATACAAATAAAATAGAAATGTGAGTTAAAGCCAATACAATAGTACAGAATTAAATAAGATACAATTATAATCAGAGCCAACGACTGACCAATTAAAAAAAAAGTAAATTAAAAAAAATAGAACGAGTATAATAAAATATAATGAAATAATAATTAAGTCCAGCAATCGACAATACTGAGGCGACACCTACGAGGAATATTTCCAGTTTTAAAGGACGATAGCGTTGGAGCTAATACACAGATTAACTCCCAGCTGGTGTTGTGTTCAGGTGCAGGAAGAGTTCATGTTGATGTCTGTGTGAAGTAGATCTATCAATAGTCTCTTGAACTCATAAATGTTTTCTATGCTAAGTTATATTTATTTAAGCCTCAGGATCAAACGGCCATGCTCCCAAGCCGAAGCTTCAACCACTTTCTCCGCAACACTACACACCCAGCTCAACAATCCCAAGGGACCCGCCGCTAAAACCTACCAGGGAAAACTCCGCACTGCTCCACATACAACGCACCAACGAACCCACACGTGTCAACAGCTGACAACGGCTAAGCACAACTGGCAAGCACTCTCCCGAAATATAATACCAAACAAATCAAAGCCTCACAAAGTAATGTAATCAGTCCCCAAACAACGATCTGAAATATAATGTCCTTCCCACATGCGGTCTAATGAGCCGAAACACAGAAACCGGCCGCACTGCATGCGCTCCCAACACATTTTACACACGCGCACACACACAAATCTTACCTATCCGTTGCTGTAGTACAGATAGCCTAAGAGAAGCGGACGAGCCCCCATCTGTCATGGCCTGGCTCTTGGCCATAACAAAAAGTGTGGAAAGGACAAGAATATATATAAGAACATATATTTATTAACCAGAACTCAACGGGAACCAAAACTAACATAAAGGCAAGGCAAAAGTATAAGCGAGAGTGGCCGCTCCCAGAACAGGTCCTCCGCGGAGAGAGAGATCGAGACTCTGGCTCAGGCCTTTGAATCCTCCGGTGCCAGCAGCCACTGTGTCTACTTCCTCTTTCTCTGTGTTCCTGCAGATGTTGACGTTCCTGATGTTGGCCCGCCTCGCCTCTCTGTGTCCTGCAGCCGTTCTGCAGAGACTGGACCGACTGATCGAGCCTCTCAAAGCCACCTGCACCACCAAGGTATCAGCCCCATATTCATATAATGATTCATATAAATGCTAAGGTATGACTCTGCATGGGCAGGAATTGACACAGCTTTTCCAGCTTCATGTTTAAATGTATTTATAAATCCATAGACTACTATATTGCAACAATAGATACTCTTCCTATGGTCAATATTCATATTTTAACTAAATTAGAATGACAGAAACGATAACGATATAAGACTTTAACATTCATGTTCACAATAATACTCATTACTTTACAAGAGCTTTACGTGGGGCAGATAGTGTTTACATATTTACAATGTATTCTTTGTGTGTTAATGCTGATAAAATATATAATGCAAAGTGTAAATGCAGTTTCCAGAAGTAAAAAGCTAACGTTAGGCTGTAAAGGAACTACAGCGTGCACATGACTTCACGTCACCAAAGCTAAGCTAAAGGCGGCTAAAATTGGGCGTGATGATGCTAAGTCGCCTCATTTAGACACTTGTTAGCAACCACCGTTTTTAAATCCACCAGTTGGGTATTTACTGACGTATTTTATGTCGTAGAATAAAAATGTCTTCAGCTTGTGTAACCACAGACCTTATTTCAGGCTAACAACCAGAAACGAGCTGACTCTTTTCAGAGTTGTAGGGCTCATTCCTGCACCACTCTATAATGCATGTAGTATTAAGGACTACACTTGTGAATTAGCATGAGATGAGTTCCCCTCCTCACTGCAGTGACTCTCCTCCTGCAGGTGAAGGCGGGATCGGTGAAGCAGGAGTTTGAGAAGCAGGAGGAGCTTCGGCGCTCTGCGATGCGTGCCGTCGCCGCCCTGCTGGCCGTGCCCGAGGTGGAGCGCAGCCCCAGCATGGCCGACTTTGCAAACCAGATCAGAACCAACGCAGACATGGCCTCCATCTACCAGAGCGTTCAGGGGGGGGAGGGGTGCGGCATCGGGCCCGCAGAGAGCATGGACATGAGCTAGAATTGGGAGTGTTTTATTTTAAAGGTCACCTATTATGCAAAATCCACTTGTTGACGTCTCTTATACATAAACATGTGTCCCCTCTTTGGAAAGCTGATCAGATTTTGGCCACTTTATGATGTCCTAATGTTTTTTTGGCTTGTGTAACCATTAGCCAATCACCAACCAAGGTAACCCCCCCCCCCACCTTATCACCTGAATCTCCTCCTAGAGCACCATTGAGTTCTTTGTAACCAAATGTCTCTCAGAGGGGCGTGGGGAGGGGCTCCTTATTTTCATCTAACGTAACAGACAGAGAATAAGCACTTTGGAAACAGGGCTGAAACAGAGGGGATTATGGGTAATGCTGCAATGATCTGTTTGGTGTTCAAAGACATGTTTTGTTTATATCTGAGACCTATAATATATTGATGAAAAACAGTATAATAGGGGACCTTTAACGTTTTTTACATAGATATGAGCCTTTTCAAAGGAGCACAATGCTGTTCTAATTTCTTATACGATCACGGGTGTATTTTAAAAACATAGGCTTTTTAGTGTGAATTTCCTTGCAGACAAAAAAATATATTTAATGATTGACACTGTGGACTACATTGTTTTTTCCCCCACTGTTTTATTTATGGTCAGAATTGAGTTCAATTTAGTTCACATGAAATAAAGTGGGAGCAACACTTTGAAATGTGTGGGTGGAGTGTGCGTCTGATTAACACCAGATATAAAACACTCACATGACTCTAGTTTTAATCGTCATGCAGATTCTGCTGGTTTGTTTTTCCATCCGAGTACAACATCATCGTAAACATCTTTATCTTTTTACCAATGAAGGAAACGAGGGCAGTGTGCAGAAGTTTTATAAAAGATATATCAGAGTGACACATTGATCTGTATCACAAGTACGAACCGTTAACTGATTTTGAAAAAGCGTTTGACTTGTTACTTTTTAACATGTGACATTTTAAAACAGCCCCCATTTATTTTGAAAATCCAAACCACATTGAGGATCGATATATTTCTGACTGTTTTTAGATTAAAGATTGGAGTAAAAAAATCATTACATTTGAAAAAAAAACTTGAACATAGTGCTTTTGTTTCCTGCTGATGGGTATTTTTAGCCAAAGAATAATAAAATAATAACAATACTAGATGTGAATGATGACAAAATACCTGCCATAAACTACATTTATTTGCATCTTATATTTCACATTTAGCATTGGGTGACAGTAGTTATACAATTCAACTCACAATCGGTAAAAAAACAATGAGTATAAAGCAATATGGTAAGTAAAATAAAGTACTTTTACTGGATTAAAGTTATTGATGCATGAATGTGTTTACTGTAAAGTACTCTCTTACTTCACTTTCAAAGTCAAATATCTACTTCTTACTGCACTACATTGTCTGAGACCTTTATAACTTTGTAGATTTGTTTTATGTTCATATGACATATTAATAAACTGATCAAATATCCATCCATCCATCCATCTTCTCCCGCTTATCCGTGGTCGGGTCGCGGGGGTAGCAGTTTCAGCAGAGAGCCCCAAACGTTCCTTTCCCTGGCCACATCAACCATCTCTGACTGGGGGATCCCAAGGCGCTCCCAGGCCAGCGAAGAGATATAATCCCTCCACCTGGTCCTAGGTCTACCCCTTGGTCTCTTCCCAGCTGGACGTGCCTGGAACACCTCCATAGGGAGGCGCCCAGGTGGCATCCTAACTAGGTCAAGTCCCGCATATCCTACAAAATCCTCCTCCTTACCTACAAATCCCTCCATGCCCTTGCCCCCCAGTACCTATCGGACATCCTTCACCCACATGCCCCACCCCGGAACCTGCGGTCCTCAGACTCTGGCCTGCTTACCACCCCCCGCACCAAACTGCGAACCTATGGGGATAGAGCCTTCAGTGTGGCAGCCCCCACCCTCTGGAACGCTCTCCCTGCGGAGATACGCAACATCCCCACACTTGAAGCCTTCAAAAGGGCCCTCAAGTCCCATCTGTTTGCCAAGGCTTTCGGCCCCTAAATCGATCTGTTGTTCTGTTTGTCTGTCTTTTGTTTTGTTATATTTGTCTTTGCACTATTACTTGTGAAGCGACCTTGGGTCCCCTGAAAGGCGCTATAGAAATCGAAGCTATTATTATTATTATTATTATTAGGTGCCCGAACCACCTCAACTGGCTCCTTTCGAGGCGAAGCCAAATAAAATATATAAATAATGGTCCTGTGTTTACTAGCTGCAACATTAAAATGATAAACACATTCATGCATCAATAACTTTAATCCAAAAATAAATGTGATGCTAATAGTTTTAAGATTTTGAATGTGGGACTCTAATCGGTATTTTACGATGTGATATTTCTACTTTTACTAATGTAAAGGACAGTGGTGTAAAAAGTATTTATTTTCTTTACTTATATCTATACTTTACTAATACCAGACTTTAAAGAAATACTACATTTCAAGTAAAAGTACTTCACAGAGAATCGTACTAAGTAAAAGTATTATACAAATAGAAATGAGAAATCCTTTATTTGTCCCGCAATGGGAACTTTGAAACAATTACAACAGCAGATAAAGTGAGAAGAAAAAAAAAAGGCTAAGTATTTACATGTTATTATTAACACATTAAGTAAAACATGTGAAATCAGGAACATGTACTGAAAGTAGGAGGGGTAAAGTAAGTTTTAGGGAACTAACAAGAAATGTTCTACTTCAATTAAATCAGTATTTTTATTTTTATTTTGTGATGTTAACTGTGAATTGAATTGACTTATCTAACGGTATTTGAACGACCATCTATTTATTTTTTAGCTAAATAAACTACCCAGCACGAACACTTTTACAGCCCCTTATTTAAATCATTAGGTTTTAAACATTGTAAATTGCGTTAAGAGCTGAATCAAGAGTTATTTTATCTCTCCATTTATTTGACTGACAGAGAGCGGGAAGATCGGAGGCGGGGCTTAAGGAAAACTGAACTGCGCATGCTCTGTGGGCCCACGTTTACGGGTACTTTCTGAGGTTCATTTTATACATCCAAGGTTGGTCCACATTGCTGCTACTTTATCATTAATAGTACTCGACGACACCTCAATGGTAAGTAAGCCTAAGTAATGTTCTTTTCACTCCTCTGTATTTGTATTATATTTACAACTGTTGTTGCTTTTATAATTTGCATTAGCAGGCAGCAGCTGGATGCTAACGTTAGCTGATTTAATGTCTAACGTAGTTTTCTGTCCGTTGGTGGGTAACTAATTACATTTCCCAACTGTTAATAACTATAATTTCTCAACTGCATTTGACAGGTTCAGTTACTTTTTATTTTCTAGCTAGCCATGTTGAATTTGAACAGGTTGAAGTGCAGGTGGCGGTTTGTTTAAACTGGTTTAAACCGGTGGTGGGAAGTTAGTGCTGTAGCGACACGTCGACGACAGATTTCCTCGTCGACGCATCGCCACACACACACGTGGGTCACCCAAAGCAACAAGCAGTTCGCAATCACAATTCAAACACAATGGAGACTGAAACGGCTACCACCTCCTCACAGGATTGCGCACGAAGCCCTGCAAAAAGCCCCCAAACAAAAAAAAATCTTGCCCTAGGTCTTCAAAAGCATGGGAATACTTTAAATTTAGTCCAAAACGCAAAGGCATTGTTATTTGCAGTCTTTGCCGAATGGAGTTGGCATACCACACTAGCACAACAGCGATGTTGGAGCATTTAAAGCGGAGGCACCCCCTTGTCTCTCGTGAAGGGAACAATGATAAGTAAGTACTAACTTTGGCTAAATTAATTCCACGTTTGTGTAGTGTGTTGTGCAGCTTGAGTTCTGTGCACTTCGGTAGTGCTAACTATCTTATAGCTCTCCGTGCGGTTTGTTCGTGCTTGGTTGGTTAGTAGTTAATGTTAGCTACCTAGCTAGCGGCGTCAGCTGTGTGTTAGTTAACGTTTGTCAGCATTTAATGTTGGCTGGAATGGTAGCTAGTTTACGTCTGCAGTACACCGCTATCTAGCCACTACTAACCCGGAACGAACTAACTGCACAGAGAGCTAACTCATGTTGTGGTCCTTTACGAGTCAAACATAACATTAGACTAACGTTAGTCAGCTTATGGCGCGTTTCCACTGCAGCGGGTAGCTCGCTTTAAGCGTGCCGAGCCGTGCGGGGCCCGTTATTGGTTGCGCTTCCACTTGGCCTAGTTTTGGCCCGGGGCTACTTTTTCACCTTTTTTCTGGCCCGACTAAATCGTGGTTCTAGGGCCAGGAACAACTAGGCTGAGTCGGGCTGAGTATGCTAAACTAGAGAGAGAATCGCTGGCAAGGGGGCTACAACTACAACAAGATGAACATATTTGACCGTGATTTAATTGTAATACACGTTTCAAAATGATGCCGAAGTAACAACATACTGATACCGGTTAGTAAAAACCATGAATTAATGCTTTGACAAGTCTGCAGACAGACGGCAGGCGAAAAACCCTTTTTAAAATGCGTGTTTTCTAAATGGAGCTTGGCTAAGCTAACGCAGTATATGCTCCGACCGTCCACACTCACAACAACGGCCTATACAGACATAAACAAACCAGCGACTGTATTCTCCATGACACAGGCAGTCTGTGGTTTGTACTTGTTTAACTTTTGTCTAGTTTCTGAACAGATATGAGGAGCTGTGAGCTCTGAGTGATAAGAGCTAACGGCTGTGTTGTTTTTTGGGGCGCTCATTGAAAAAAAAAAAAACTATTATTAAGAATTTTTTGGTATTTATTTGAGATACATTACGTTTTTTATTAATCGAACAACAGAAAAATAATCGCCCGATTAATCGTTTTCAAAATAATCGTTTCCCCCCAGCACTAGAAGTTACTATAGCCTACTGTCAACTACTCTGCGTTTCAAAATGTTCTGCATAATTATATTTATATATGTGACATTTCTAGATAATATTGTTGCATCACGTAGCATTTTACTGTTGTTAACAATCAAAGTTGTTATTAACCTTTTGTACAATATTTAAATAATTTGACTGTTGTGACATAAAGTATTAGTCCACTACTTTAATATTTAGAGATGCTTTCCGTTAAAAGTAGCTTAAATGGGACCTATCATGCAAAATGC